GCCTGTAATCCCAATACTTGTGGGGGTGAGACAGGGATGATGAGTTTGAGCCCAGCCTGAACTATATAATGAGACTCTGTCACAAGAAAAAAAATCTTTCACATTTTTATTTAAAAGAAGTACTTTATGTCTTCCCTTTGGCATATATGAATCGCCAGTGTCACTATTCCTGTGCTTTGGGGCCATTTCTAAGTAAAATAAATGCTCCTTTTAGACCTAGCCATTGTGATACTGTGACAGATGATAACCGAAACAGCTAGGTGAGTAACAACACATTGTAGATATGCTTTGCAGAAAAATGATTCACATCCCAGACAGAACTGCATGAGATTTCATTATGCTATTTGGAACAACATACAAAATCTGTGAATTTTTATTTCTGAAAAATTTTTTGAATGTTTTGGGATCACGATTGCCATCAAGTGAATGAAACTGAAATGTAAAACTGGAGATAAGGGTGCGGTGGATGCTCCCATACATGCTTTGATGTCACAGGTGATGTTTTATTAACTGTTACATTTAGACCTTAGCGTCTTCTTTAGACTTTATCTTACAAACTACCTGAAATGTGAGGTTTGCTTAGCCTTTATAATAGATGTAAATTTTGTTCTTTTTAAAATAAATAGGAAAATAGTTTTAGCAAACTGGGAGAACCAAGAATGCCTAGCATTTTCTATCTGTATATATTTCAAGTTTTATTAATTTTGACTTTTGTTAATAATTGTAGAGTTCCCATTAAGACTTCTAATCATTACAAATCAAATTATTAAACACATTATTCACTAAGTAGGAATTTAACCCTAAATGTGAAAGTATGATAATAAACCAAGAAAGATGTATATAGGATAATTCTTTAGAAAATGGGTTTATTAGGGACTTTTTCATTTTAGTATTAGAAAAGAGATAAGTATAATGTTAGCTTTTATGATTTAGCATCCTTTTCTTTTTTACTTTTATTTGTACATGTTTGCAATACATAGTAAACACACCCATCATAGGGAATTGATACATGTACATATCACATCTTAATCCTTTTTACTTCCTCTACCCTTCCTTTCCCATCCTGTCCCTTCATCCCTAGATCCCCTTCTCATCTGAAAAGGTCTGCCTCTTTTTCCCTGTGATGTATTTTCTATTTTGCTCTTTAAATTATTTATGCTTTGGGATTTTCATATAAGAGAAACTGAGCATCCTTTTGTTTAACGTACTCTTGATTAAAGTAATTAAAGTGATGCCTCAATATATTTATTTTAAATTTATGCTAGGCTAAAAATAGAATTTTTCTATGGCTTTTAAAATCAGTTAAATGAGTGACTTGTACTTTTTAAGAAATCTAAATACAGTAGAAAAATACTAGCTTATGAGTAAAATTGTCTTGCATATTATTTCCTTTAATCCCTCTCTGTCCATCCCTATCTATCTGTCTATCTATCTGTCTATGTATATTTCTCTATATAGTGCGCTCCAACTTAGCTATACTGTATTTGGAATGTGAAAGGATTCTTCAACAACTTTTGATGTATCTGTATATTATAATACTTCATTAAAATCATTGTTATAGCTTGATAAAGGAATTACACAAAGCAAGCAACTATTCATAATTCTGTGGTACTAAGTTTGACCCATTTTTTCAGTTGTTCACAATCATTTTGTATTCTGATTCTGTGACCATTATATGTACTGATTGAACTCAGTTCCATGTTATCTATACATTTAATATGTATTGTTTTGTTTTAACCATATTACTATAGGACTGAGGTATTCATAAACCCCTAGAAACTCTCTAGGTTCCTATGCTTCACTCTGTGGATCCAGATATTCCGATATTCCTCATGTAATTGTTTCTTGGCCTACTTATACAAACACTTTGGTCATAGATCTGAGCACTAGAGATGGATTCAATCTACTGAAACTCTAAAACTCATATCCTGCCATTTCTTGCTTTGCCTTGTGATTCAATGGACATTGTGTCTCCCATTTGCCCTGCCTCCTATATTAGGCTCCCAGCCATTTTTTCCCCATATCTTTCCTGTTTCCTCTTGTGGATAATGGGAACTGAAATCGTGAAGTTATTGAGTAGCATTTTGCTACTTTAAACCTATTTTTTCCCTTCATTCCCTCATACCTTGTCCTCTTGATTTGACACTTGGAAATCATTGTCATTAATAGTGAGACTGGTTTGTAATTTATGAAATTATGCACTTTTACAAACAGACCAGATACTTCATGTAAAGAATTATTTTCAGTAAATGCCTGATTTGACAAAATCATGATTATATATTAGCAAAATATATTTGTATCTATGCTTGTGGTCTGTTAATACAGAAATGTACATGCATATAAATATTGATTTGATAAAGATACACACTTTGGCAAAATTCAGTGTGACAGTGAGTTGGATGTCACAGAACTCATGATCTGGTCTTCGTTCTGATTTTGTCATTGAGAATTATATTTTAAGCTTTCTTTGGCTTGAAAATTGTCCTAGTGTCCCAGTAAATATAATTGTCATAAAGAATCTGATGAGATCGGGCATGTTCAGGGTGGTATGGCTGTAGACTATAGAATCTAGTTGTGAACAATACTTGTTAATTATGGAGACTGTAAGGGCCATATATAAAATCACATGACTTTCTAAAGTTAAAAGAACTCTTAAATTTTCTCCTACCTTTTGAAGGACTTATAATTGGGTCTTTACCTATAGAAGTCAGTTATTTTCTTTAATATTCATTAAAATGCTTTAAAGCTACTATGTACATGGAAACTCTTTCATTGTTGTATAATGTTGGCATTATGACAGTCTGAATGAGGGTTGTATTGGGAGAGAAGCCAGAAAGCACTGGAGGTTGTTCCATTCACATAGCTCAAAACTCCCCGCTGCTTCCATCACTATCAAACAGCTCTTTGGAACTCTCTAATTGCTGTGTCCATGGATTCTCTGTACCCAGTCTCTGTAAAGCCTCCACTTTCCTTGTCAATTTGAAATCTGCATTTTGAAAAATGCTTGCTTAAAATACTTTAATGGAAAAAATAAGAACTTATGGATGTTCAGAATTTAAACAGCATATGTCATTAATGGAAAACACATTCCAGAAATAAATTTGAGATAGATATACTGGGATTATATATACTTAGCCTAACTCTGAATAAAGAAGAGCTTCACTACAGTTTTCCCCTAGATAGCCACCTTTTAAAGAGACTTTGTAAAAAGCCTATAGGCTTGTTTGGCTTTTAGTAATAGTATAATTACCTCATGTGTTTCCATGTTGTGATACTCTAGCTAGAATAAATAAGTCTACATACTAAATTCATATGATTTCAAATCTTAACAATAAGGACAAATAACTTTTTTTGAAAAAGGCACAAGAGGAAGAAATTATTTCTTTGATAATGAAAGAATACTCTGTAACACAGAAGAGAATAACTGTAAGGATTAATTAAAATGTTTTAAGTGCATCACATTTAAAAATACATACATTAAAAAAGTATTATGAAGTTTCATTAAATAACTCCAGCCTGATCTTTTCAGAGTCTATTAATAGAGCATGTATATTCTTAATGTTCTCTTTTTTATTCTTTGTTATCATGTTGACAGTGTAAAAATGAACAATTAAATGGTGGAGGAATGTTCCTAAGTATGTTATGTGAAGGAATAATTGGTAGCAAAATCAGCGTCCTTTCTGAGCTGGAAACAGTGACTAAGAAGAGAGAAAGTGGGCAGGCTTCTGAGTACTGTTAGGAAGGTCAGCTCTTGGGCTTTGTGTAACTGCAGAGTATTTAAAGTTCCTGGTATCCCTGGAAACACAAACTGTTTGTGATACCAATTGGTGCTTGTATTTCAGTGACGTCACACAATTTACAGATTCACACAATGAGTCTCTTGTTTGTGGACCTACAGAGGAGTTCAGATACTTTTGGAAAATCACCTGACTACCCATAGGAATTAAGGCTAAACTGTCAGTATGGTAAGGTCAGTATGTCTCCCTGCCTTTAATTTTAAGGAGTGACAGACATTTCATTCCTTAATCTTTTGAGTTTACATTCAAGTTTTTTTAAGAAACAAAAATTCTCATTGTTTTATTCTTTGTGCTTGCAGTTGAGAAGTACATATACATTTTTGTACTAATTGATATTTGTAGAGGAATAGCTCAGGAGGATTAATTACTCTTTTTAAGCTTAGCCATCAGCTGTGTAATGGTAAGAGGCTTTTAGAACTTGGAGTATTTGAGCTAATTGGTTAGATTAAAACACTGCTATTAAAAAGATTACCCCCCCTTCTTTCTCAATCTGGGAAGGAATTGGTAGGCTGATCTAAATGTTATACATTAAACTGAACAAATTGACTTAAATAATATGTTTCTTCCCTTGTACTTTACTTCTGCTTATAATTATTTCTCTGGACAAAAGGCAGTGGACTTGTTGCTCTAATTTAAAGTCTGCAATCAAGAATGATTCGTAGAGTTTGGGTACAGCTTCCTTTTGTTTGACCAAACTTGTGTGTTTTTCTTTTTCAGAATATTTCCAAGGAAAATCTAATTATATTCCTAATGAGTCCTTAAAATCATTCATAGTTTAAAAGTTTTCTCTTAAATTTTATTTGCTTTTAGCATCTGATAGTTTTGAATAGGAACAACAAATGAATTCATTTGTTCAGATGTGGTAAGAGAAAAAAAGAGTTGCTTACATTTATTGAGCTCTTACAATATGTCAGGTGTTGTTCTTAATACTTATTATTTCCCATTAATTCTTAGCACGTCTCTATGAAGTAGAAAATATATTGTTTCCATTTTAAAGGTGAGGAAACTGGACATTCACAAAGTATCTTAACTAGGGTCTCACAGTTGGTAAATGACAGAACAGGGATTCCTTTTCAAACATTTGCTCTTCTGTGAAAATCTGTGTTCTTAATCGCTTGGCCTTGTCCCCGACTCCCAACAGCAGTGATAATGAGAGCTGACCTGTATGGAGCAACTTTTCTGTGTTCCAGAAATTGCCCTTACCTTTTTTTATTCGTCAGATAAATTGGGGACATGGATCCAGATGAGGTTCCAGTTTGACTCCGAGCCTTACTGTGCTGGATTTCTGTGGTAGTTCTTCTTGAAGATCTTTGAAAACAATTTATCATATGTGCTGAAAATCAGTACTGAGTTGTTTTAAGGAACAGTGTATAGGAATCTCAGCAGAGGTCACTATGTGCCAGGGCTCTTTGAGTTAGCTTCCCTGCCCTTACCCATTAACTCAGCCAGTTTCTGGTCCATAAAGCATCTACTTTCAACTCTTTGGAGGCTTTTCCCAGTACTTACCTTCATATTTTGACATAACTTATATATTTCACATGTACACTTATGCACACCTGAAGCTATTTATAGGCTCACATAGTTTCGAACATACTGTTACTGCTTTTAGTAATACACTCTTCTACTTTTAACTCTTTTTAAAATTCTAAACTCATATACATAATCCTGATATTATTTCCTTTTATCATCAAGAAAATAGAATCTCAAAAGGATTATATCACTTGCTAAAGAAAACACTTATTTCTCTGCTTACAACACTTCCGATACCAAATGTGTGGGTTTCTTCTGCACTGATAACCAGTTCTCCAATCTCTGGACCTCAAGTGGGTGTCCTCAAATTCCATTCAGTTCTGACATCATCTTTCTGGAGTTAGCACAGGCCACACAGCTAAGAGCTCGGCCCCATAGGCCTGCCTCCACTTTATATGCCAGTTGCAAGTCCTGGGCCTCTGCTACACATGACCAGCTTGGCTACAAATTGAAGGCTTCTGTAGCCCCCTTCTCAGATTTGATAATTTGCTATAAAGACTCAAAGCATTCAGGGAAACAGTAGTAATAGATTTTTATAAAGAAAAAAATATAAAGGATACAAATGAACAGTCAGGTAAGGAAGTACATAGGCCAAGGTCTCGAAGGTTCTCTAGTGCAAGAGCTTCTCTTCTTGAGGAGTTTTGGAGTACATGATCCTCCTGGCATGTGAACGTCCAATACAGTAGCTTTCTGAACCCCATTGTTTAAGAGCTTTTTAAAATTTTTAAATTTTTTTTATTTTAAAGAGTTAAAAAAAGTGATACAGAATTTCAAAACAAGATGATAGGAAATTAACGTTCATTATATTGCATGTTGTTATCTTTAAAGTAGTTGCTCAGATTACCAGATATAGGCATGTAAAATTGATCAAATAATAGAAGCATTATATTGTTTCTGTGGACTAATAGAAATTAGTAGCACAGTTATCCTAGCTATCCTATGTGTGTGTGTGTGTGTGTGTGTGTGTGTGTATATATATATATATATGTTTCCCCCTTCCTTCTTTTCTCCTTTCTCCTATCTCAGTTGTTCTTTCCTTTTGAAGAGTTTCTTTCCCTTCCACAATATCTGTTGTACCTTTTAGATCTTCTTTACTCTTTCAGTTTCTTACACGAGGGAGACAATACGATGTTTCCACATGTGAGTCTGATTTATTTCTCTTATGAGTAAGAGTTTTTAATGGGGCCTCATTACATAGGCATAATTAATTAAATCATTGGCTATTAGTGAGTAACTCAAAATCTCATTTGAACCTCACAAAAATGCCTGAAGGAGTAGATGTTTTTATCATCTGTACATTAGAGATGAGTAAATTGATGTTCAGTTAGATTAATTTGTGCAAGGTCACTAAATGTTACAGTTAGAATCTTTTTAAAGTACACTTTCTGTTGAAATAAAAAGAGAAGAGTATACCTCCTAAGCTAGATGTATATGACTTGCTGAATTTGCATAAAGGCGATTTTTAATGTGTAAATTACACCCTGCTGAAGAAACAGAACATCCCAGAAGGCCCATCTTATGCTTTATCCCAAACGCTAAGCACTATGCTGACCTTTAGTTAGTTTTAGTTTAGATTAGTTTTACCCAGTTTTGAACTTTATATAAGCAAAAACTTGCATTTTACATCTTCTTTTGTACAACATATTTCTAAGATTCTATATGTAGTTACTGTCTCGTCATTCTTATTGGTATATAATATTCCATTTTATGAATTATCAGAATTTATCTACTTACTATTTGTTTTCTCTTTGGATTGTTTCTAGTTTTTTTATGAATAATGTCATTATATCTGTCCTTGTATATCTTTGGATAAACATGTGTCCACATTCTTTTGAGTATGTATCTGTGAGTGGAATTGCTAGATATAGCTGTCTAGTTCCACATTTACCCCCACACTTAGTATCTTTTGTTAGGTATGTAGTGGTTTTAATGTTTTCCTGATGACCAGTGAAGTTAAACAACTTTTTTTTAACATGTGGATCTTCTGTTAATCTTTTTTTGAGATATGTGTTCAAGTCTTTTACCCATTTTTTGGTTGGATTGTCTGTCCTTTGTTTTCCTTTTTTTTTTTTACCCTCCAAATACTATTTATACATGGTTTTGTTAGACAAAAATTTCACCCTTTTCTTTACACATGAGAGTGGTTTTTCTTATTCCTGTTACCCTTTTGACTCTTCTTCCTTTTTATCCTAGGATTTACACATCTCCCTTAATTCTAAATAATATTCATATATTGCTGTTTTTTATTGATCTTCAACTTAGACCTTTTTACTGGTAACTTTTCTATTATGGTAGATAAGGATTTAGCTGTCATGTAAAACTGCCCCACTTTCCTTGCCATAGAGCTGTTTTTGTTGTGGTAGTTATTGTTGTTTGGGTTTGTTTGCTTCGCTTTGTTTTGTTTTTGTTTTAATCAGCATTGAGTGTTCATATTCTTATGCTTTCACTGAGTGTGATTGACTGCCATTACTTTTCCTTTCTCACTATTTTTTGTATTATTTTCTGAAGTCAGTAATTTCCTTGTTTTTTTCATGTTGAGTTTTCTTCATATCTATTATTCTTGTCATATCTTCCTGTAGTTTTACAATACACTTCCACTCAAGGTCAGCAGCATCGGGAAACCTATCAGATCCAAATTGTTTTGTTTTGTTTTATTTTTTCTTGGAGACATTCTTCATGGACACTTCCTATTCTGACAGGCCTATTTCCTGAGTAGTGATCCTCTTAGGAGTTTGTTCTGCGGTCATTCTTGGAATTCTTTTGCCTTTCTCGTGGGTCGGATTCCCTATTTCCCGATCTTCCCTTCATTTTAAAATACACTTCCTGTTTTGTTAAGGCACATCCTCCAGTAATGTCAGAAGGTGGCACAGAGGCAAACAGCATGCCATGACAGCCTTGACTGTGCCAGTCTCTTCAGTCACACGGCTCCAGTCTGGACTGCTTTTGTTTGGTGGATAGTTACCAAGCTCCATTTCTTTTTATCATCATTTTGAAATGTTCTTTGCTTCTCTCCTGTGTTGGAGCAGCTATTTAAAAATCAGATGTACTTTTTATTTTCTTGGTTCACTCCTTGTATGGACTGAATGCCTTTGTCTACTCAAGGTTATTTTATGTAGAAGCCAATCTCTAGTGACAGTATTTGAAGATAGATCCTGTAAGGAGGTGATAAAGATTAAATGAGGTCATAAAGGAAGAGCCTATTTTGGTTTGGGTCAAAAATGTTCTGTAAAGGTTCTTATGTTAAGAGGTGGGGCTTTTGGGGGGTGATTAGATCCTGGGGCACTAACCACGTCAATAGATGAGTGCATTGATGAGTTCATAGGGGACCATGCTATTGAGAGATGGGGGCTAGTTGGGGGAGTAGGTCACTAGAGCATAACCTGGAAGGCCGTATGCTGGACTCCTGCCCTTTCCCTTCTTCTCTGGCTCTTTCCTAGTCTCAGGGCTTCCAGGCTGCCATGTAGTGAGCAGCTTTCCTGTACCAGGATGTTTCTGTCTTGAACCTAGTCAACCAGGGACTGAAGCCTCTAAAACCATGAGCAAAAATAAATCTTTTCTCCTTGAAGTTGAGTTCTCAGGTATTTTGGTCACATGATAACAAGCTAATAGAGAAAATTGGTACCGGAGGTAGGGTTTTTGGTATGACTGTACAAGAGGCTATGACTCAGAAGCCTTTGGAAATTGTTTGTGGGAGAAATTTGGAAAGACTTGGAGATATGAACCTGAAGCTTTAGAATGTTGTAAGTGGAAGTTAGTGGACAATTCTGGAGGGAGCTCTGAAGACCAGAACATTGACAGGTATGTGGTCAGTGAAGACCGCTTGTGAGGTTTCAGATGATAAGTAATACTCTACTGGGAATTGGGCCAAAAGCTATTCATGTTATGTTGACTTTCTCAGATATTTTGGTCACAGTGACAAAAAGCTAATACAAGCCCTAATTCCACAGGATGCCCTTAATTAAGAGGCAAGAAATACCAGAGTTCTATCTCTTTCTCATGTGGGTACAAAGTGAAAGGCAGTTATCTGCAGGGCACTAAGAACCATCATTAGGAACCAGATTGATCGCACCTTGATTTTGTACTTCCCAGCCTCTAAAACCATGTGTGAAAATAAATGTCTGTTGTTTAAGCCACCCCATCTATGGTATTTTATTGAAGCAGCCTGAGCAGACTAAACCACTCACTCATTTTAAAGGAGGATGTACTATGGTAGCTTCTTGAGAAATAGTGCAGGGTAGGTAGATTATCTTAGGCCTTAAATATCTAAAATACCTTTATCCTCATACTTGATTATTAGTTTGGATGAGTGAATAATCAAAGTCAGTAGTGGCAAACCTACAGCATGGGTGTTGTTTTTCTGTTAAGACAAGATGTTAATGTATGAGTTTTTTTCTAAACTAAAACTTCAATATTAAGGTTTAATTGCAGTGTTGGTACTTTGTGATAAATAAGTGGATATTGGATTGCAGTTTGGGCACAAGTCTCTGAAAGGTTTGCCATCCTTGATCTTGGTTGATTGTTAGTTTGGCTAATTGAATAATCTGTTCACCCAGAATTTTGAACTCTTTCCAAATTCTTTTGAATTCCTCTGTTGCTTTTCAGAAGTTTAGGTCCATTCTTATTTCTGATGTTTTCTTCAGGGACAGGTTTTGATAGATACTAGTTTCGCTGGCACTCAGTGAGTTTCACTTTGGAAATTCACATCCAATTAGTACTGAGAAATTTCACTGATAATTTTCTCATTCTATTATTATTTCTATTATTTCTTTTCTGTTATTTTTATCTTGACTCAATTTTCTTTTTTATTCTGTTTTTGTTTTATTTTAATTGTATTGAATTTTATTTTGTTTTTCATTTTTGCTGTCTTGTATTTAATATACAAAAGTTCATTTTAGTTCTGTGAATATTGCTTTTCATGAAAACAAGTGTCTTATTTTCGTTAGATAGATGCCAATTCTTCTCCTATCTCTTTTTGGATAATAATAGTTGTTTGTTTTCTTTCTGTATTGTGTGTGTCTCCTTTAGGCTGCCTTTTTCTTTGTTGGTCTCCTTGTTTATTTTAAATCGATATATTCTCATGGTAGAAGCTTTCTTCTTATCTCTTAATCTTCGTTTATGTGCTGTTGACTAAATGGAAGACTAGAAAGCTGACTCAGATCTAAGTGTGAAACAGGCTTGTCCACTGAGGGTTATACTGTAAGATTATCCTGATGGAGATCCTTTTTGTTAGTAACTTTCTTTCAGAATGCTCTCAGACATTCTTTATAATGTTTATCAGAATTGTTCTATTTTAATTGTATGCCATTTGTACACTATTTGATACTATTAAATTTAAGTTCCTGGAGTTCAGTGACTAGGTCTGTCTTGTTTATTGTTACAGCTCCAGGTTTGAGTTCAGTACTTTATACACAGTAAATAAATACAGTACTTGCTGAATTGCAAATGAACAAATGAACAACAACAAAAAGAAACCAAGGAGAAGCTGTTTTGGTATGCTAGAAGAAAATCTTAGACTGTGAATAACTGCATTGTAGGGTAACTGTGCTAGCTATATCACTTTGAACAAGTCATTTTATGAAGAGGCATCTCATTTTATTAATCTGGTTTGAAGAAATGTGGTTTACTAACCTCTGAGATAACTCTACATTGTTTCCAGAAAAATTCTCCCTTTCCACCATCTTTGCCTTTCTATTTCTGTTGTTTTCTCCAACCTGATCCTCATTTACCATTTCTTCCTTACATTCACTCTTTTCTCATTCTCTGTAATGTGACTATATCCCAGGATATTTGAACAGTATTCACTATCCAAATATTTACTGTAATGACCTGGAAATTTGTAACCAAAAATTGACTATCCACAGTAAAATATTACTAAAAGAACCCCACATTGTGTATTCTGGCCAAAAATGTGAGTTGCTCAGGAATTTGGAGAAGAAAAGATGTAGTAAGTGTATTGTCTTGTATCAGTTGTTTCCCCAACCAGACTGTATTTTGTGATGTCATTATTGAAGGTTTTGTGCAATTTTAATATTTTCTAAGATAATGGAAGAATCCTAGGAAGGTTAGGAAGGTTTGTACTTAGACGAAAAGATAGAAATGGGAAAAGCTAATGAGAGACAAAAGACATAAAGTTGTCCATGTTTGTATCTGTATATTGTATGACTATAAATTGTATGTATTTGTGAGAAAATAAATACAACTATGATAATGCTGCTAGTTTTAAGGAGTCTTTAATTTTCTTTTTAGTGTTCTTTGCATTCATTTTATAGCATTAAAATTATCATTATAGCTTACTTACCTTGCCATATATGTTTATAGTATAAAAGGAATCTAACTTGTAACTGATACTATATACTGTGTATAAATGTGCTAACAGTTTATTACATATTAACTGATTTTGTATTGGCATTTTTAATATAGAACTTTTCGTTAGATCATTTAGGTATTTAAAAATATTTAATAATATTTAGGAAAAATTGAAAATTTTAGGTGGACTTGAACTAAATTTTTTTTCTATTTAAAAGCAAAGAATTGGGCTTATGAGTACAGCTTAGTTCATGTAACACATGCAAGGCCCTGAGTTCCATTCCAAGCACTGCCCCAAAGAGAAAAAATTAAAATACATGAATAAATAAAATCATAGAATAGCGTCCCCTGTTATGTGAGAATTTGCTAACACCTTTGTATGAATGGATTAAGAGGTATATTGTTTTTATTTGTATTGGTTATATTGCAGAGAAAAAGCATATAGATTTTTCCTCTTCTACTCACTTCAGGTTAATGGTTTTTTGTTTTTTGATATAAGAAAAGTTTCTCATTTCTGTCGTAGACCAGCTGGCTTGTGTCAGGATATAGCTCATTGAATTGGATTGTCCACTTACCAGGGAACCTGATAGGATTCTTTAGAGACACATATATTACCTCTGTGATAGTTTTCACTGTATACTTAGTGATTTGTGATTCAGACATCACAGTTCAAAAAAAAAAAGATGCATATTTACCTGTGGTTTATTTCAGTGGACCCTGTGGAGAGAGAGAGAGCTATTAATGACTTTTGATACTGCCAGATGCTTGACATTTTTTGTTTTAATGCAGTCTGCCTTCTACTCTTTTAAATAGATTATGTCACTGACTTAGCCAGTTTTTAAAAGCACAGAAACTGATCTCTCAGTACTAGTGAACTACTTACTCTTTTTCACCTCTCAAGAATCACATTCCTTTAAAAGCTCTGATTCTTTCTGCACAGCAGCTGCCCTTAAAGGAAAGTGATGAGAGTCAATTTAAAAAGAGGCAAGCGTGGGGGTATATTAATATAGGAAGAACTACTAAATATAACAGAAGGAATGTGCACTAAATGGTATTTGAGATTCTTAGTGCAGTTCATTTTTTTCTACCAGTAGCAGAAACATGAGACATAAAAAGGATCTTAAGTTTTGATTATTTAATAATAGAAAACCATGGTCATGTTTCGAAGGCCAGACTAGTATTTTCTTATACTTTTCTTGAATTAGCATAATATCTTAGTTTGATTAAAACTTCCATATGGACTTTTTTTTTCTTCTAAAGATTAGTATATAAATGCATTATTTTATCTTAAGTATTTTATATTTTTCTGTTTAAGGGTTCTAGTATGGACTATACAGATGTATCACACCTATTAGGATTGAAGGGAAATCTATGATAGACTACCATCTGTCATCTTGACATCATTCATAACACTTCATTCAGTTATGCAAGCAGTGTAGTTACTTATGCAGTACTTGCCGCAGGGTGGGAATTATGGGACTTAGTTTTTCTAATACTTGCTTAAGAAGTGGAAGAAAACCATGTGTTCTGTTTTGCCTGCTGTTTCATGGCACATATTTTTGTGGCAGTGTAAACTGAAACAGTGATGTGGAAAGGAGAAGCAAGGGAGAACCATGATAGGATTCGTTTCCCATCCAGCCATCTTCTTAAAATAACTAGGTAAGCAGGAAACTGAAATGAACTCTTTTAAAAAGAGAAATGTCACCTTTATCAAACACGTGTCTAAATAAGTCATGTTTTTAAGGCATGTACTGCTTTATTATCAGATAACTTATTATGCCCTGTGATTGAGCAGAATTAGAACTTCGATGCTGAGTTACAGGGCTGTAGAGACTGAGAGGGAAGCTGCAGAGGGACTCCTCAAATGTTAGAAGAAGAAATTACTCACTAGGAAGAGAGAAGTGTACTGTCTCCTCTCTCTCCTGTCGTTCTCTTAGAAGGTGACGGTGAGCGTAGGAATTTACTGATGGACACCAGTGATCAGGTAGTGTGAACAGTTATGCCTCTATAGTTGAGAAGGAACATGAAGTGGTTCATTCAGGTTAATACTCAATGTAAATTCAGTTTCACAAACAATTGTGATCTCAGTGAATGTGTAATATTGTAAGGACTGAGACTTGTATTTCCGTAAGTCAGACATGTTGGACTAATTTTATGTTTTAAACATACTGAATCATTGACTAATATCCTTACTTATCAATGTTCATGTGGCCACATTTAGATCTACTGAGACTATTACTCTGCATGAATCATAATATACTTTGGGTTTTTTGTTGTTCTTGTTGTTGTTGTTGTTTTTCTTCCGGTACCAGGAATTGAACTCACGATCTTGCGCTTCCCAGGCAGGTGCTGAGCCGCTGAGCTAAATCCCCAGCCCCAGAATCGTAATATACTTTGCCGTCCCAAAGTTTCATTGTATGCCAGGACAGCAAAGTTTATACCCTTATGTTAGGTAGTTATAAGTTTAAGAAAATTTTTGTTTGTCATTCTGTTAATGGGGTATTTTCTAACATTTTGACACAATATAGAGAGTAGGAAGGTATTGGTAAGATAAAAATAAAATTAAACTGTTAATGATCCAAATGGTTTTGCCTTTCCTTTCAGTGCCTTAAGATGAAAGAGAGTAAATTGATTGCAGGTATGTTAGGTCTTAAGCAGAGAGCATTAATACATTCATTAAATAATTTGGTCACGTATCTGTAGTATATAATAGGCTGCTTTTCAGCAGCATGTTAGTTACTGGCCATTGTTAAGAATCATCTCTACCTGGCAATTCTAACATTATTTCTTCTGCCTTCAGCTTCTACAAGTTGCTTACCTTCTAATTGTATATATATACACACCTAATGAAATTTCCAGCTTTATACTGTGATTTTGTTTGATCTTCATCCTGTGATAGGCCATGGTGCACCTTTCTTTCATTACAGCTTAACGGGAGAGAGATCTCCTGCTGTTGTTTCCCTGGCAAGTAGTTACTCAGTTTGTACTGGCATTTGAAGGGTCCCAGAATCTGATTTTTTAGACTTACTGGTAGCCTAAATGGCCTAGTATTTTGAATGCTGTTCTGAAATTACTTGGAAAAAATGGGATTGCATTGAATTCTTTAAATGAGCTTCCCTTTTAGGATTTCTTCCTTTTTTGAAAAACATCTGTGTTGGACTTCCTTGCTAAAACTAAATTATAGTTACATAACCTACTTTATGACTATTTATCAACTTCTATTTGTATTAATTTGTTTTATTATCTCATCTCTTTTATACTGTTTTTCCTTCACAAACAACTAGAGACTTACCAGTCCTATTGGTTGCTATTTCAAAATCTGACTCATAGTGCTTTTCTTACTATTTCAGTTTAGTGCAGATTCTAATCATCCTTCGCCAGACCATTACATTAGTCTTTCATTTGTTAAGATTTCTGTTCTTTTTCCCCATTTAATTCATCTTATAAAATATGGCCAGATTTTCTGAATCTTCCATTGGCATTGTACTCTGTAAGCAATGGTTTTTAATGTTTAATCTGTAGACCTGTAGAGTCATAAGCCTCCAAGATCTGCTAGATTAAAGGTCACTGTATAATAAAATTGAACGATTACAATTATTCCATGTTTACTATATGGCAGACATTTTCTGGAAAAAGAAAGATGTAAACCTGTCACTTCAGGGGAAACAGCCAGCACTAAAGTATTTATTGCAAATGATAAAATTCATGACTAAAATGGAAATTAGAATTTTGGAAAACTCAGACTACTATCTTGAACTTGTCAGCTTCCCATTATTTAAAGACCTTTCTAATGAAATAAAAATTGTTGTGATTATTCATGAATGTGATTGTTTGATAGCATATAATGGGAAATCCCAACATTTAAAAGATCTGCAAATTGGAGTTAGCCAGTACTTTCTAAATGATGAGTTTGGAAACTTTCTAAATGATGTTTGAAAACTGAGGCAGATCGCTTAAAAGAGTAATTCAAAGGACAAGGGGGACCAGTGATTTTTTTAATTTATTGATGAGGTTTAAGTTCATTGATGAGGTTTCAGAGTCCACCTTGTACTAACTTTTAAAAAGTAACTGCTTGTTAGGTTTTGGTACTGTATGAAAGAAGACTATCAGAAAGTAAGAAAGAAGACAAAGTAAAAAGAATTAGAATATATTATGTACATGTACCAACTCCCCATAAACAATGTAATCATTATGTAATGTAAACATGTATTGATAAAAAAATTGAAAAAAATTTAAAAGTGAGAACTGTTAGTTTGCACACTAATACCTAATTTTAAAGAAGTGGTTTCCAAAGGAATCTATTAAATCACTTCAGTTTCTTTTAATATTTCTAAAATTATTTAATTTTTGGTAATGAGGCCAGCATGTAATGTCCTCAGTATCGTCATAGGAATAAGAGAGATCAAATCTAAAATTGTTTCTAATTTTGCTATTAAGATTCATCTTTGTGATTCTGTTAGTTATTCTTTTCTCTAGCGAATTTTAGATACTAAAAATAATTGAAAGTTAGAAACTACAAGTAAGTCACTAGAGCGAAAAATAAAGATTGGTAGAATTGATAGGATGAAATAGGACAAAAATCTGAGCTCGTCCTGTTCATGTAGGCTCAGTATATAGGCCTTGTTCATGTACTATTAAATCTTTCTAGCCAAGAAAACAGGACATAATACAATGAATGAGGTCATGATAGAATGAATAAATTAAATCTTAGGTTATTTAAAATTTTTACTTTATCTTGTTACTCAAAGAGCTTCTTAAACCTTAATCCAGAAGTACTAAAAAGAATAAAAGTGATCACTTACTTCTTCTGTCTTGTTTTCTTCCATGCATCTTTGTTTATTGTCATTGTGGGGATTGAACCCAGGGGCCTTGCACATGCTAGGTAAGAGCTATACTACTGAGCTGCATCCCCAGCCCTCTTCTGTGCAGTCTTATAAAATAATTTTAAAAGTGGGAATTGCCTATACATAGAAAAAAATAGATGAAACTATGACATATGTAAGATGTCTAATCCAACTCATTAAGACAGAAATCTTTTAAACACAGAGGTATTGATCTCTATTTTGTTGTTCCCTATTTGATCCTACCTTTAGCACTGCAGACAAATGGTTCAGGGTCCCAAAATGCTTTGAGACAATGTCTTCTTTCACAGTAATATGAAGTAATGAAAACAAAGTTCAGATAGGACAAAAAAACAACAGAAGATACTGAGGTTTTAAGAGAACTACTCAGGATTATACCAAAAAGAGAAACTAGGTTTCCTGAAATTCAGTGTTTATACAGATTTCTATTTTATAAGGAAACCTGGGTTATGCTCTAAACACAATATCTTGTATTCTAATTTTTACAGACATAATATGCTTATTTATGATTTACAGCTTGTCTCTTGACTTCATGGATGTTTGTTTTCTTACCTCTTCAATTTGACTTGCTCATCTAGTATAATAACTAAATAGATACATTACATATATTAAATAATATATATTTAATAATACATATTCAATAATCATTGCATTATATTCCTGAGAGGAGTGAGTCCACTGTGGCTAAAGAACTTTTAATATATATTAAACTGTCATAAAATCTTCGTTTAATGAATCTAATGTATATTTATGATTAAGATATTGTACAAGTTTTACAATTGCCCAAATGAGGGAATAGTTCATATAAATTTTTTTTAAGTAACTAAGGTGGTGATTACTGGGTATTTAAGAGGAAATGAGGCATCTGAGAATTGTTGAATTATTTTGCTTTAATGTTAAGTACCTCTACCTTTAAAAAAATATGGTGGTAATACATTTAGCTTTTTCCTTAAAGAAATTATTTTCTGTTTTTAAGATCTTACTGGCCTCTGGTGGTAATATGATGCTATCATTTAAGCATTTCTAATTCTAATGAAGCTGTTTTTGTATGTATTCTGCCAATAACCTTACTCTCTCAGTTCTTAGTCAACAGTATTCTCAAAGTATACATAAAACATCATTCTCCTGAAGCCTAGAACTGTATCTTTTGTTCTTGTATCTCAGTCATCCTTGCATTTATTTTGAATGACCTATTTTAGTTCTAAAGCATTCTCCCATTATTTTAGTGTTTATGTACAGAGGTAATTACTATTTTGAGTTTGCGCTAACTGTTCACTTGCAGTATTTCAGCCTTCTTCTCTAAATATTTCAGGGATAATTTTTTTCCGTATTTTGTATATAGCAGTTTTTATTTTCTGAAAATAAAGTTTCAGTGTACCGTTGAAATTCATGTTTAGACTCATGGTTATACTTCGACTTTGAAGACTCCTGTTTGAAATACTGATTTAATAATCATGATAATGATTTGTCACTTTTGTTTTTCTTTTGTAATGCAGATGTGAAAGGACCACCCACCCATCGTCTGTCTTGTGGTCAGTCACCCTACACTGAGACAACAACATGGGAACGGAAATACTGCATCCTAACAGACAGCCAGTTGGTGTTGCTCAACAAGGAGAAGGAGGTACAATGGAAAACTACTTCTCTTTTTGTGAAAATTCTGAAATTTTACAGATTTTATTTTCATGTTGATAATTAGCATTATGCAAATACAGGTGTTAAGCTGGGCGTGGTGACGCATACCTGTAATCCCATCACTCAGGAGAGCAAGGCAGGAGGATCACTGCAAGTTCAAGACCAGTCCGAAATACATAACAAGATCCTGTCTCAAAACAAACAAGACACAACAAAAAATACAGACTTAAACAACATACATTTAAAGGGCTGCTAATGCAGAAGAGATGTTGTTCCAAAGAAGGATGAGTTCCACAAGATCAGACCTGCAGTCTCACTAAGGAAGAGAAGAAATACTGAGTTAGGTTGAGAAATTTGGAATGAGAAAGAATTGGAGTGGGTAGACCTGACCCTGTAAAGGACCTAAAAGAGCTACTAGAAGTTTTATATCACTCTAGCTCCTAAGAACAACATGTTCAGTGAATTAATTGAAAGAGATTTAACAAGTTACAAATAAGTGAGCAGCATAGAGTAATGAAGCCACCCTGAGCTAACAATGTCCAAAAGCAGTTGTACCTTAAATCTTCAGGGTAACTGAAGGAAGCCAGGTTTCTGGAATTCAGTAGTAATTCAGTTGTGTGAGAACCTACATGACATTGCTATGGTTGTAAACAAAAAAGCACAACCTCTACCAAAAAACACAGATGGCCAAAAAGAAAGAGAGTAAGTATCCCAACTCTCTTCTACTTGCTGATTTCTTGCCATTCTCCCTGCTGGTCAGGTCTGTACTGAAGGCAGGAAAAAATTGTTTTGATGTGTTCTGTAGAGATCATCTTCCTGAAACACACAGAAAGAGAAATAAAGGGCAGAGAATAGTGTACATCTGCAGAGGCAGAGAGAATGTAATCCACACCAGACATCGCTTTCTGTTCTGACAAATTAGAAACTGAAACTTATCACGTACATTACTACTTTACTCTACCAACTGTTTACACACACAAATTCTTCCACATCCAGATCATTCATTTGCTTGTGGGTAATTAATATCATTCTAGTAATTATGTAATCTGCCACATAAAAAATAGTGGCTATGATCTTGACGTGGAACAGGCGTAATGGGAGGGAAGAAGAAATTACCTGATTCAATGAAGGAGGAAGATTAATTGTGAAACATACATAAATAACAGTAGAGGTAAAATACCCATTCAGTAAGTCTTCCTTTCTACAAGTCTGCTCAGAAAAGCAATGATCGGGAAATGTATTCCTTAGTTCTCATTTGTAGATTCCTACCTCCCTTTTCTCTTGCTGCTTCCTCCCTCTTCCTTTTCTTCTGTGTCCCTTCTCTTTTTTAGCATTTTGAAATTTGGTAAAGACAATGTAATAACAAAAAAGCTATTTCAGTTTCTTCTTACATTTCAATAGGCAGTGCTTACTTGAAAAGGCCCAGCTAGTGTTTCTCCAAGAAGAACTTGCTTATTTTTTTCTCCAATCATTGAAAAATATACCTTATTGTTGTTATTGTCTCCCCACCTATGACTCTTCTCTAGTAATTTAATACTATTAAATTTAATTTTATACAAATAATTTAATAAGTGCCAGCCTATTTCAGAACATTCTTGTGTTACTGTGTTAAGTAACTACATAATAAAAATTGGTAGAGTGAATGAATGTTAGTGTAGAAGATTTCTGATTATCCAGTTTCAATAAATGCATAATTTATAATGCTAATTGTAACTCACCTATCATCTTTTATCAGAGCTCTTAACAAGGAATGATATAAAGAGATCATTTGCCATTCTTTTGCCCTTGCCTACTACTGTAGTTGGAGAATAGATAGCAGAATGTCAAGAAGCATCCCTTATACAGAACCAAGATAAAATTGATTTGATGAAGTCATTGATTAAATATTTCTAGTCAGCTGTGACCCAGTCCTCGGCCAGCTTTTATCTCATAAAAAATTGTTCAGGATAAATAATTTTCTAGAACAGTGTCTTATGTACTTTATCCTTCTGTAAGCCAGTCATTACAAGTAGCCTTAGACTACTTAGAAAACCTTTTCCCCTACACTTTACTGTCTTTATGGTTTTATGTGTCTCCTTTTCTGACCCTGTTTTCTTTTCATCCTTCCTTACCTCTTTAAATCCTTGACTGTGCCTGCTGCAACTTTATCATTTGCAAAATTAACTGTTTCTTCCACCTGTTCTTTGGAAGGGAACCTTAATTTCTTGGCCTCTGATAACCTGTATCTTTCCTGACGTCACTGTCTTCCATTAAGTCTTGTTAAGGGGTGGTTGCTTTTCTCCCATAGCCGTTATATCATGCTGCTTGGAGTGGGTGTCTTCTCCTTTCACAGCTGCTTCCTCTCTGTTCTCCCTCATTTTCTTTAAAATATTCAAACTCTGAATTGCATGTTGTAGGCATCTTTCAACTTGTCACTCCTGCTTATTTTTTGTTGATTTTCTTCTGAGTCATTATCTTTATGCCTACTTCAGTCTTAATTTTTTATTACTCCAGTGTCTGTAGAGGTGATTCTTTCATCACATTGGCTCTCAGTTCCTTGAACTCCTCCTCCAAGGATCTTCTTCTCATTTCACCTTATTGCTACAAGTCCTTCATATTCTTGATTGCATGCGTCTCACTCTCTGATCTTTACCTCTTTGCAGCTCATTCGTCTTTTCACAATCCTTCAAGACTTCTAGGACTTGTAGTCTCTTGATCTTTATGGGGTACAGTGTAACATTTCAAGACATGTATACAATGTCTAATGATCAGATAAGGGCAAATGGCATATCACCTCAAACATTTATTATTTCTTTATTGGGAGCATTCAGATCCTTTCTAGTAACTATTTTAAAATACATAATTGTTAACCATAGTTATTCTGTACTATAGAACTTAGAAGTTACTCCTCCTATCCCACTGTACTTTATACCCATTAACTATCCTCTTTCAGTCTTCCTTCCCCAGCTCTCATAATCAGTATTTTCCTCTCTACTTTTATGAGATCAACTTTTAGTTTCTGCATATAAATGAAAATAGTGTTTGTCATTCTGTGCCTAATTTCCCTTAACATAATGTCCTCAAATTCCCTCCATATTGCTGTAAATGATGGAATTTAACACATTTATGGCTGAACAAATTCCACTGTGTGTGTGGGTGTATAGTGTCACAATGAGTATACAACTGCAGATTTCTCTTTGACATACTAATGTAATTTCCTTTAGCTATGCACTTCATGGTTCTATATAGAACTTGCAATCTAAGTAACTGGCTCTAATTTTTTTTTTTTTGTAGCAGTTTTCACCTTTTAAAATGTTATAAAATTTCTTCTGTTTATCATCTCTCTTCCCCATAGTGCAATGTAAGCTTTGGAGCATGGATTCCTTCTATTTGTTCAGTAATGTAACCAACAGTGCTGACACGTAGCAAACTCACAGGAAAATTTGTTGATGAATGCTACAAAATCTAAATTGTAAACTGGTTCCAGAATGCTCATTTCCTTAATCTTGAGAGTGGATCTCTTCTATCTTTTGTATGTTGATCAACTTTCCCTTATTATAACAAATACCTGGCATTCTCTGGTAATTCTCTGGCATTCTCCTGGTAATCAACTTATAAAGAGGAAAAGTTTGTTATGACTCACAGTTTTAGTGGTTCTGGTCCATGATCAGAACCTCATAGCTTTTGGACCTGTGGGGAGGCAGAATATCAGAGTCAGAGTGTACGACAGAGCAAAGGCACTCACATACGTTCAGGAGGCCAATGAGAGGGGAAAATGAAACAAGGGTCTGGGGTCCCACTGTCTCCTTCCAGAGGATGTCCCTAGTGACCTAAACACCTCCCATCAGCCCCACCTCCTATAATTTTCACCTCCGAACAGTACCAAGGGACCAAGCCTTTAGACACGGATATGTAGGGGAAGCTTAGTATCAAAACTATAGCATGAACCCACCCAGAACTTGAGGTTTAATTCCCAATTTTTTTGTTTTTAGTTTGGTGAAACAGGATAATAAAAAGATAAAATAATCTCTAAGGTTATTTTCTATAGTCAAAGGTGTGATTCCATCTTTATTGAATACCTATTACATGTGCAGTGTTATGGTCACAAAGATGTGGTTTTATTAGAGTACTTGAGGTAAATTAAATTACAACCATTTGTAACTAGTTAAAGGTAGTAGTCTCACAACACTGTTAATATATAAATGCCAAGGAACTAGTGACCTATATGTTACAGGAATTTTACCTCAAACTACAAAGGAAAGGTAAGTGAATTATTGCCTGAGGTAGGTGATAGTGTGGAATGGAGAATGCCAAAAACCATTTTTACAGAGGAAATTAATGCTTACAAATAAGAACTCACCAGGAAAAAATGAGTAGGGGAACATTCCATGTATGTATAAGGAGACAAAGTGAAGAAACGTAGCTCTTTGGCAAAATGTTCAGTTTTTGGCATATAGCTCACAAGAGGAAAAGAAATAGCTGGCAAGAACTAGGTAATAGAACCTTGAAGATCATGATGAGGAATTTCAACTTTATTCTGGAAATGGTCCAGACAATGGAAAGTATTTATAAAGATAATGATATAATTAGATTTACTTCTTAATAAAGTAACTGTTGATAATATGGAAAAATGAGTGGAAAAGAGTGGAAGTCAGTAGGTAAGTTACTGAAGTAAACCATGTTAGGAATAATGACTTTATAAACAGTTTAAAAACACAGTTTAATGTTCTCAGACAGGTAGTTACATTTTGCCATTATTAAATTGCAAAAGCTGAATGAAATCTTTAGGCAAAGAAAATGTGAAGCCATTTCTGTACTTGCTACTTGAACAGTAAGTTTAGTGCCCTGTTAATTTTATTATAGGGAAATAAGAAATTCATTTTTTAATGGAAGGACTAGAATATTCTATTGCTCTTTGCCTTTTACCCACACTAATGAATTATAAGGACTCTACCATAATTCTTATCCTTGGAATTTTATATTGAATATTTTAGAATTTCTTGAAATGAGTTTAAGGTATGTCCTACTAAAACGATCTGAAAGAATTGCTGCATCCTGCATGGCTCTTGAAGTTTGGGGGCAGGGAGGGGACCGGGCGAGAATGGGAGAAGTAAAGATAAGAAACAAAAGCTGAGGTCAGGTGGAGCCCTCTCTGTCCGGATGGGAGGAAAGAAAACTTGTTCAACTACTGTAGGGTGTTTATTTATATATTTGACAAAGTTAGTGTCATGTGGCACAGCTTTGCCTAGCAACCGATTGCTTGGATTGTCTTGGGGCTTGGTGTTCTGTGGACTGAAGGAGCTTGTCATGTGGATTTGCCTCAGGTGTTTTTTGTTCTCAGACCTGTTTTGCCTCATTTTTCCCTCCCCCTCAATGTGTGACCAATTTCCAGCTTCAGCCAGCTCCCTACAAAGAGCTGTTTAAAATCCTAATTCACCTAATCACAGGGGTATTTATTGCTGTGCTAAAAGATCAGTTAAGAGGATTCTGTATGGATCTTAGCTATGCACTATTTGGAAAAGCAGAAGATTATATTAGTGTAGTACTATTCATATATTTAGTCAGTGTGTGGAATCTCTTAATGCTGTCTCTTAACTCTTCCTGTTTCTTGTCAGAGTGAGAAAATGTTTGAGGGATATGCATGGAAAGAGTGTTAAATACACCAATTACCAATTTGAGCACATAGCAGAATGGTATAGATCTGAGCAGAGTGCTAAAAATGAAGTTTTCCAAGAATGTCACTTGGAGAAATGTCTCAGTGGTTCAATAAATTGTTTTATGTAGATTTTGTGAAATAGACATTGCTTGTGTCTTATGAAGTATACTTCCTTGCTTGGGTGTCAACCCTTTTAAAAATATGTGGCCATTGAGTTCCATTTTGCCTTCAAGAAATAAGATCAAGTAAACTACAGATTTAAGGAGTTGACGGGAGTGATGGAGAAGACAAACATGAATCTCTCTCAGGTACAGACAACGTAACAACATAGAAGAAACAAGCATTTGTGACTTTCTTGTGGCATTAACAAGCCATCAAGATGGTAAATTTGCCTCAGTTTTTCTTAATGCAAACTCTTATTTCTGTATTATGAACTTTAAAGCCTGGATACTGGTAGTACAGGCAGCAAGAAATCATAATGCAATTTTAAAATATTTTACCACATTTTTCTTGCTTTACAAAGGTAGTGTTTATACTCAGATATATTGATGAAAATAACAGACACTGTATACACAGCTGAAAGTCAACATTTTTTATCCTACAGTTAACTACCCGTGGCCTATTTCATTTAGAATCAGTTTTAAGTTACTTAGCAGATGTATAATGTGTCCCTGTACATGCATTTACCATGTTAGAAGTAGGAAAGAATATAACAGTTTCTCTTTCTTTTCTCTCTCCCATAACAAATTTAGTGATGGAAATATGACAAATAATTTAAAACTGACAATTAATAAAACAGTAAACTGGAGAGTATGAGAAAATTCATTTATTCTAAAGTACTGTAAATCTGTTGTTAAGATGCTACTGGCAATAGGAAATTACCAAAGGAAGCTTAAAAGAGATCTGGTCAAAATTATGTTTCGTGACTATTAATTTATAGAACATACTAGGAGAAGGAGAGATGGGAAGAGATAAGCCAATTAGGAGACTACCATTTCTCATATTTAAAACCATGGGTGGCTTCCTAGTACTCCCTGGATTATGCATGTCCTGTTGTACAAGCATGGTCATAATATATTTTGGTGTGTTATATTCTACTTCTCTCCTTCAGCTAAATTGGCTTTCTCCCTGTTCTAAAACAAAACAAATAAGTTGTGTGCTTATTAACTTCGTGGCTGATTTTATGCTTTTTTTTCTTGGTCTAAGATGCTCCCCTGCTCTACCTATCAAATGTTCATTCATTTGAAGGTTGGAGATATTTTAAGGTTTATGGGTTGGCTGGTAAAGTACAGACTGTTAATTTATATCTAATTCATTATATAAGTGAATCATAATTCAATACAATACGTAGAGTGACAGGGAAAAATATATTGGAGGAAACTAAGGGAGGTGTACCTTAAGTTCTTTTATGAGACTGGTAGAGGGAGAAGATTCCCTGAAGAGGCAATGCCTGTCATAAATGTTAGGAAGAACAGGAATTTGCCTGCCAGATGTAGAATAGAAAGAAAGTGAGAGGCAGCATTCAGACTGAGAGAATAAACTTAGTGATTATACTGAACTACAAAATTGGAGATATATTGAGGAAATCCAAGTAGTTTGGTGCTCAGAGACCATGAAGTCTAAAGCAGAACCCAAAGACATGGGCCAGATTATAGAAAACTTAATATATTATGTTAGGGAGTATAATTGTTCTCTTTACAGCTCATATCGAGTTGACAGTCAAGATTAACTGCTACAGGGAATTTATACTATATAGGATAATAATTTTTAAACCTCTTTATGAAAATAACCCTTTCATTTAAAAAAGAATCTTGTACAGAAGCCCTATAACAATACATAAACTCAAAATTATGTTTGATTTGAAACAGAAAGGTGTCTTCCTCCACTCTCATAAAAATACCACTACTCCTTTGAAAACCACTGCTGGAGCAAAGAAGAAATACTGAAGGGTTTTAAACCCCAGAATGATATGATCATATTTACATTTTAGAACTGCTCTGGTAAGTGTGTACAGGGTAGGTTTAAAGGGCAGAACATCAGTGGCATATGTCCGTAAAGAAACTGTTGTAGGCATGTGGATAACAATAAGGTGCTGTTGGCACCAGCTATCATAGAGTAAGTGGTACAAGATTAGCCTTCCATCTGTAAAAAACAAAAAACAGGACACATGCACTCTCAATGTATGTATTCTTTCAGCCATTGGACGATAGGCTGCCTAACACTGTGATGGTCACATTCTCAGCTCTCTGCTGCATACCATTTCCTGTCATGGGCACAGTAATCTGGAGTCTAGGCAGACTGGTCCTACAGAGCTGAGGACGTGCAGAACAAAATGCTGCATCTGAAGAGGCTGGAATCTGCTGGGCAGTTTACCACAGTCTTTGGCCACCGACTTTATTACACATCTGCAGGAAAAGACTGCATACACTTTCAGAGTACAAATAGAAGACTGAGAACATAATAAAGAATGGTCAAGCAGAGCAGTGATAGAAGCATGACCCCACAACAGACTTCTTTAAAACCCTACCACCACAGCAATCCAAGTGACATATCATTGATACCTCAAAAGTGCAGAAATTAAAGTTTGCATGATTTATGACTACACACTTAGTACTAATAAGTGAATAGTTTTTTGTAAGTGAATAGTTAGAGCCGGAGATACCGAGAATAGATCAGTGACCCTCAACTTTGCCTGCCTGGGAGTGGTCCTGTCATTGGAATTTTCTAACGTTCTCCTAGATGATTATAATTTGCAGTGAAGATGTAGAACCTTTTATACAGATGACACTTTGAGATGCCTAGCCATGATGGAAGGAGTGATAGAAGGAGTGAAAACAACACCTTAAGGCAGTGGCTGTCAACCTTAGTGAGCTTTAGAACTCAGCCGAAAGCTTATTAAGTCACATTGCTGAAATCCACCCCTAGAGTTTCTGATTCAGCAGATTCTGAATCAGAACTGGGGTGAATGGAGCCTGAGAATGTGGGGTCTGCGAGGATGGATTTCTAATAGGTTTTCAGGTCATCCTGACACTATTGGAGTGGGCCACATTTATTTAGAAAACCCCTGCCTTAAGATTTTTAAAAGTTGAAGCATTTTTCTTTTTTTAAAGGGACTTGAGTCCTCTTAAAGATATATAGCAGACCCAAGCATCTTTTTTAGCATTGTTTAGGAAAGGATATAACTGAGAAGAGTTTTCAGATGCTAGTTAGTATAATACTGATTTCCTGTACTTAACTCTTTAACCTGTATGAGTTCAGATTGAATTGAAATTAATTTTGTGTAATTGTAAACAAAATGAAAAACTTCTATAGAAAGTATTCAAATATGTATGTGTATGCATATCATGTGCCAGTTTGATCTGCTGTTGTCATGGATGCTTTAGAATTAACAAAAGGAACTTAACAAGAGTGAGATTCAGTTTGATTTTGTTAACTCATCCTAGATAGCTGAGAGGATAGCTTTTTCCTCAGATACCTGAGAAGATTCACTGTTTTGTTCTAAAACAGTGAAATTAAGATTCATGACTCTCTCTCTTTCTCCTTCCCTTCTTCCCTCTCTCTCTTTCATTCTCCTTCTTCTTTTTCTACTGCAGCAAAAGAAGCCCCAGGAAGTATTAAAACACATTCTCATGACATAAAGCCTAGAAGATAGACAAATGATTATGAGCAACTTAGTGTAAACAAGTAAATATGAACTAAATTAGAATACTCAGAACAGAAAAATTTGCTCTTATAAAACGGTCTTCAGCTGACTATTAAGATTTTTGTCAACTCCAACTTGGTTCATTTGAAGGGACTTGATTTGTGATCTACCCACTTTTATAGGAGTAAAAGATAAATATCTTTTGAAAGTTGTATTTAGCAATCTATTGTGTTATAAAAGTAAATATTCTTTAAAAATTCAAGTTTAAAATAAAAATCACTCTTTTCTTATAAATAGAATGCCCTAACCTTTGAGTGATACTTTAATAGATCCCTTGATCATAATTTTAAGCTGTAACAGAAATGAAAAAAAGTCTATATTAAAACTTTTAAGAAAATATTTCTGAGCAAATTTTACATTCAAATAAGAAGTTTGGTATGTTTTCTTTATCATCTCCTTATATATGGCAGAGAAAAGGTATATGATAAAGAAACTATTTTTCTTTTTCACAGATAGGTCCTTTATAAATTCCCACAGAGAAAAATTATCCTCTCCTAAAACACTGTGAACAGTTAACGTTTTTCTGTAGAGCTTAAACCTTTATTATTTCAGATAATAGGCACTTTAAAAATTATATTAAAATAGTTATTTTTAAAAATTCAAATATTTGCTGAAAATCCAAACTATTTTTCTTTTCCAAATTTACTGCCTTTTCTTCTACTTTTAAAGCAAGTAGAGGGGGATTCATTTTTTGCCTTTCTTAATAGAAAGGAGTCACTCAGCCTTTTAGTACTACTCACTTAATTATTTAAATAATTTCCATCCTGAAAGGGATGGTTGACTTAGATTACTGTTCATGAAGTTTTACATTACAGAGTACATTTTCAAAGAGTTTGTGTCTTTCTTGATGGTATTACATGGCTTCAGTTTATTTTGAAAAAATTTTCTTAATTCTGCCCTTCAGTTTCTCAGCAAAGAGTAATGAGGCAGTGGGGGCTGTCTCATCCTATAAAGATATGAAAATTTTCAGTGCTCTGGAGACCTTGGGGAATTTGCTTTTCAGATTCTCAGTAACACAGAGAGCTTCCTTTTCTCTCATTTCCTTGGCCCTAGTCGTAGGAATTGGATTACTGAGGCAGAGCAAAGGCATGTGCACTTAACCTTGTATCTGTCCCGGTTTGGCTGGGTCAGGTGATACAGTGTATGCCCTTTGTAATCATTTGTAAGATAAACCATCCCTTCCCTAAGAAAAGGGTGTAGTTATAATGCTGCTTTCATAATGTCACACACATTTTTAGACTTGTGCACAGTGAGAATTAAATGTTAGGCACTGTTATTAAAATTTGCTGAAAATTCAGAAGCCATAAGAAATTAGGAACAATTACCAGTTATTGATACAATTTACCGAGGTACTTAGGATATTATCAGTGTAATTCTTCTGATACAAGTTACTAATAAAATAATTATTTATGAAGTGTCTTTGCCCATTATCCACATACCTGGCATTGTAGTGTTCCCCCTTTATCCATTGTTTTACCTTCCACAGTTTGAGTTATCCATAGGAAACTGCAGTTTGAAAATATTAAATGGTAATTTGCAAAATAAACATTTCATAAGTCTTAAATTCTGCAGTTTTCTGGGATCCTGCCTGGGATATGAACCATCCCTTTCTCCATCATATGCATACTGTGCATGCTACGAACCTATTAGTTATTTAGCAAATGTCTTGGTGATCTGATAGGCTGTCATGGTATCACAGTACCTCTGTTCATGTAACCCTAATTTTTCTTAAAAATAACCCCAAAGCACAAGAGTAGTCATGCTGTCAATTTGAATATGTCAAAGAGAAGCTACAAAATGCTTTAAGTGAAAAAGTGAAATTACACTATTTTGGAGCACCTTGGGGTGGGCAGGGGAAGATAGTTATGTAACTTTTATTATAATATAATGTTAAAATAGTTCTATTACTGTCGCTACTCTCTTAGTGTGCCTAATTTGTGACTTTGTGTAGGAAAAAAAGCACAGTATGTTTAGGGTTCAGTACTCTTCTATCTGTATGTGGTTTTAAGCATCCACTGGAGGTCCTTGGAACCTATTCCCATGGGTATGAAGAGACTGCTCTGGGCCCCCAAACAAACAGAAAAAAAGAACTTAGAGCCACCCATTACTTTACAATGACAGTCTCCTGAAAAAGTTTTAAAATAGTTACTAGCATGACAGATCTCTTTTATATTCATAGTTCTTACTCCGCTTATCCAATCACTTCCCTAAAACTGTGCGAGAAAAACTGTTTCTTAGGATTGTAAAAACAGCCTCTCCTTTGGAAGAAAGCATACCACTTTATATACGTACCTGTATAAGTATCTCTATAAGCTTCCATTAGAAATATGTTTTATTATCTATGTCTAAGTACTTGATGATAAAATTAAAGAAAATTTAGATAATTTTTTTGCCTTTATCTGACAACAAAAAAACCCATCTTCTTTAAGGAGAATTTTGAAGCTGAAACGTCCTTGTCAACTTCGATTTCCGTTTACCTTTTTGAACACTGGATAAAATTAGAGCTTGTGAACTGATTTCTAATATAGAAGAACCTTTTATTTGTGTGGGTGTTTTGTTTTCTGAGCTCCCAGAGCAGCTCCACACCTGGACATGATTTGTATATACTTCATGTAAGCTAATTTACATACTCACCTTTCCTGATTATTCAGTTTCTTTTGAAAGAAAAGCTTCCTGAAAAGGGGTTAGTAATACCATTTTATGTGCTGTATTTCTACATTTCTCTTACTTTATTCTGCTCACTTCACATTTCCATCTTCATTAACTAAAAACATTATTCAATCCCGAAGGTAATAATGGAGAGTTCACTGTTAAGTTTTAATCTCTTTTTTGTTTTGCTTAACTAGATACCTGTAGAAGGAGGACAGGAGCAACAGACAGATTCCACCAAAGGGCGATGCCTAAGGAGAACTGTCAGTGTCCCTTCCGAGGGTCAGTTTCCTGAATACCCACCAGAGGGCACCACGAAACTGGGTAAGCTAGTACTAAAAGGAAGAAATTCCTAGATTGTATTGAATAATTGTGGACTTGTTACTGGTACAGTAAGACAGAACATGTGTTTCCTGTGAATACCTTGAAATTAACATATTAACACCCCAGAGTTAGGAGTCATTAGAGAGTTCTATTGTGTGTAACCAGGTGACAAGAAAGTTATTTTACAGAGCTAGAATTTATCTGAGTGCTAGCTAGTAAGGTTACTCGTTAGTCCTCTGCAAGATGGATGGCATGTTGTTTCTGTGTGTTTATTGCTCAGCCCTAGATTTTGAAAGAGCAACAGTAATTTTGTTGAAGCACTAATTCTCATAGGGAAGTCAGTGAGAACTATTGTGGAGTGGTTTAGACGTAGCCTAGGCTGTTGGCAAAGGTAGTTTTGCATATTTCATTCAATTCAGAACCGTGGTTGGAGTGGATGACAGAAGGGAGTGTTTTTGAAAATCCATGTCAGAAGCTGGGCATGGTGGTACATACCTGTAATAATCCCAGCACATGGGAGGCTGAGACAGGAGGATCACTGTGAGTTGAGAGTAGCCTGGCTACATAGTTTAAGGGTAGCCTAGACTATATAGCAAGACCCTGTCTGAAAAAAAAAAGAGGTCTCAAAAGAACAACAACAAAAAACCAGATTGGGCTGAAGATGTAACTCAGTGGGAGAGTACTTGCCTAATATATATGAGGGTTTGATGTCCAGCCCCACTAAAAGCAAAACAAACAAAAACCCCCACAAAGAATACTTCATTTCAGTTGTTACATATACTAAAGGAATTAATGTCAACATCAGAGCAACTACCCATAGCTCTTCTCACCCCAATTTCATACCAAATGTATTGTTTGGTAATTCTAAATTTTTAACAGAGGATGTGTAAATGTTTAAACTAGCCAGGTAATTTTAAGGATTATATCATTTAAAACAATGAAAGAATTTGAAAAGTAGGAAGTGCTTTGGTGCTGGATGCTATTGGCTATTATGTGGCTACTGAAACATTTACTTTTAGTCATAGACTCTTGGCGGGTAGAAAAGCTAGAACCATGTTTCCTGTTTCTGGGATGGTCAGTATTTATAATTCTGTGATATGGCTATGTTTTCTAAAATCAAGTTTTGGCTTGGTTTTGCCTTTTTCTTTGTTTTCTAAATGTTAGTCAGAATTTGAATCCTTTATTTCCCTTTTTACCTGTAGCTATAATTGCTTTCTTCCAGACATTTTTTTATTTTAAAAAAAACAATAGAAATTATACAGAATATCAAACTAAGATGATAGGAAATTAACAGTGGTTGTCATATTGCATATTGTTATCTTCAGAGTAGTTGCTCAGATTACCAGATATAGGCATGTAAGATTGATTAAACAATATAACTACTAACTGTTCCTTTCAATAAACTAATAGAAATTAGTAGTACAATTATCTTAACTGTTTGTGTATATATATTTTTTTCCCTTCCTTTTCTCTTTTCCTCTATCCCAGTTATCCTTTCCTTTTAAGCAGTTTCTTTCCTTTTCACAATATCTATTGTACCTTTTGGATCTTATTTACTCTTTCACGTTCTTACACTAGGGAGATAATACAATGTTTACACATGCACGTCTGATATATTTCACTTAATGAGTATGGTCTCTAGTTGCATCCATTTACCTATAAAAGCCTCCAATTTATCTTTCTTTATAGCTGAGTAATACTATTGTATAAAAAGACCACATCTTTTTTATCCATTCCTTGGTTGATGGGCATTTGGGTGCTTTCTAAGATTTAGCTATGACAAATTGTGCTGCTATAAACATGGGTGCACATATATTGCTGTGGTATGATACATTCAGTTTTTCTGGGAAAATACCCAGAAAGGAAATAGCTGGGTCAAATGGGACCTCTAATCCTAGTTTTCTGAGGACTCCCCACACTGATTTACACAGTGGTTTCACCAGTCTACACTCCCAACAGTGGGGAAGGGTTCCTTTTTCCCCACAGCCCCACCAGCGTTTGTTATTGGTTGGTTTTTTGATGATAGCCATTCTTTCTTGAGTGAGAAGAAATCTGTGTTGTTTTAATTTGCATTTCTTGAGTGACCAATGGTGTTGAATATTTTTTCATATATTTACTTGTTATTTGTATTTCTTCATCTGAGAAGTGTGTATTCATCTCAGATGCCCATTTTTTAATTGGGTCTTTGAATTTGAGAGGGGTCTGATTTTTAAAAAAATTCTTTATATGTTCTAGATAAAAGTCCTTTATCTGAGAGATAGTTGGCTAAAAATTTTTCCCAATTCGTGGGGTTTCTTTTCACTCTGTTGGTGATTTCTTTTGATGTGCAAAAACTTTTTAATAAGAGAAGATCCCAGTTGTTGATTCTTTGAAGTATTTCTCATGCAGTTTGGTTTTTGTTCATGAACTCTCTGCCTACCCCTATATCTTTAAGATTTCTACCTACTTTTTCTTCCAGTAGATTTAGTGCTTCTATTTTAATATGTAGATCTTTGATCTATTTTGACTTTAGTTTAGTGCATGGTAATAGACATGGGTCTAGTTTTAGTCTTCAGAATGTGGAAAGCCAGTTTTTCCAGCACCATTTATTAAAGAGGCTGTCTTTCTTCTAGTGAATCTGTTTATAATTGCTTTTACAGAAATAAGTTAGTAAATATCTCTAACTGTTCATATTTGGAGAAGGTTATATTTTCTGCTGATCTTATTGTCCCTCTTCAGCAGGTATCAAAACCAGTTTAGGTACGAACCTAACATATCACAAACTTGTCTGGGTGTTACCATTTTATAATTTGTTTATATTTTACATACGTTGGTATTTCATGTGCGTTGAACTGGCTTACAGTCACTTTCCTTTAATTCCTTTGTTTTCATTATTTTTAATGTTATGTTGACAACTATCTTTACCACTTTAAGAAACATTGACTACAGTGTTCAAAATTTTGACACACAAAAGTCAGTGGATTTTGAGGGTATATAACCACAGTCCAGAGAATTATGACACTGTTAGAGAAGAGAACTATATGTTCCGGTACTGGTGCCAGTGGTGAGCTGCGACATGGGGCAGATGTGTCTGGCCAGAGCTGGTGCTCTGCATTTCTCCCTTACAAGTCTAGCAACAGCCCTGACTTGTGGCACTACACAGTCATTTTCAGAGCAAGTGCCCTAAGTTAGCACTGGAAAAGAGAAGAAAAAGACAGTTTCAAGAGCTATTCTTCCTTACATGCTCATCTAATCTTTTCTTCTTCCTTTTTTAAAATTTTATCTGTACATTTTAGATATACACAATGATGACAGTCATCATAAGGAATTTGTACCTCTACATGGTGCATCTTGCTTCTTTTTTCCCCATTGTCTTTCCCTCCCTTCAACCCCTCTTACCCTCAATTACAAAAACATTGTTTCCATTTTTTCCTTCTATTTTTTTTCTTGTCCCCCTCCTTCCCCTTCCCATTTGAACATTTTCTTCCCATTTCCTAATATGTATTATGTATTTTGGTCCTTATTTACCCTTTTGGTTTCTCACAGTAGAGAAACAGTGTGGTATTTAAACATATGTGTCCGATTTATTTCGTTTGAGAATATAGTCTCCAGGTGCCTCCATTTAGTTAAAAATGCCTCAAGTTTATCATTCTTTTTTGCAGAGTAATACTCTATTGTATAAAAAACCCACATCCTTATCCATTCATTGGTTGATAGTACATGCCCATCTAATCTTCACTGGTAATTATTCTGTTGTTCTATTTTTATTTTGTGATGTTTTATCATTAGGTAAAATTTCCTGTTTCAAATATTTCAGAGTAATTTCTGTATATATAATATTCCATGCCAGTCCCTAAGAATGAAAAAAGCATCAGATGTTTGCTCTTGGAAGAATTTTATATAGTTAATAAGAAAGAATGAATATATGTAGAAACAAAAAATGTTAGTACACAAAAATCGATTGTATTTTTGCAGATACTTGTATACCAGCAAATTGGAAATGAAAAATTTGAATATATTATTTATCTTAGTATCTCAAGATAGTAAGTGGGGAAATAAAAGAGCAATATGCCAAGACTCGCATACAGAGAACTATAAGACGTAATTGAAGGAAATAAAGAATTTAAATAAATGGAGGACTATCCCATGATCATACATTAGAGCACAGTGTTGACTTTCAGTTCTCAAGATTAAAATTACAATATAGCATCCCCTGTCACTACCCCCGCCACACGCACATGCACTCAAAAAATGAAAAAAGAACGAGCGATGTTCAGTGTGAAGGCCCTGGGTTCATTTCCCAGCATGAGGTGGGGGATAATGGTGTGAATTGGGATGCTGAGCCTTGGAGACCTACAGATTGAAGTCCAGCCTGAGCAATTTAGTAGAAACTTAGGGAGACCCTCTCTCAAAAAAAAAAAAAAAAAGGTTGGAAGGTTGTGTGAACAACATAAATGCCAGTAAGCCTGGAGTGCAGTGAACAAGAGGGAGAGTAGTAGGCAATTATACTAGTAAGTTCAGCCAGATCATGAAGCTTTACCAATTACTGAAGACCTAAAATTGACACGACTTTTGGTTCATGAAATTCTTTACCACTGAAAATGTGATGTGATATTTTCTTGGGCATATAAATATCATTTTTAAAGCACCTACTTCCAGATTTTTAGTATCTAGACTATTTATTTTGTTCATCAAACAATAACTTAAATTCAAACCATAGAAAGCAGGATTAGCTAAGTTCTCCAAAGGAAGTTACTTCTTGAGATGATAGAATTCTTTGTATATAAGCAGTAGTGGGGGCATACTAATTATGAATACATGAACTAGAATTAGTAAATATTTATTTGCAGTGTGACTATAACCTGTGAAGTCAGCTTCATTTTTGGAACACAGCTATTAAATATCTTGGGAGAACTGTGACAAAGGGGGAAAGTAAAAGCTGAACAGTGCACATTTTTGTGAACTGTACATTTATGAAAGAAACTTCCTTGCTTTTAACTCATATTGCTTAATGTTTGCTGGCATATGTACTCAGTAAACTGAGGCAGCTAGTAGTTGTTTAAGCTGTATATGGGTATGAGTGTTTTGTGTATTCAACATGGCTTTGTTCAGCCGGATGTACTTTTCTTTGTTTATTTGATGTTTATCATCCACTGTGCATAGCAAAATGCATGCAATGTGCAAATTGTTCCCTAAAATACATAAATTGTGTTTGAACGCTAATGTTTTCGAAGCAAGTATTGTAACAGAACCAGCCTTATTACCAACTTGTCCTTAACCAGCTTGTCCATTAAAAAGATAAATGCTTTTATCTTCTTCAGCCTGCCACAGTAGAGATCCATTCGCTTATGTGAAGGTGATTTCCAGGGCACTTGTCACTGTCATTGATTTGTGATTATTTCATAAATTTTCCAGCAGATGGCAGTCAAGTCTCTTAAATAAAGGAGTCTCTTTCTAATTCACAAAAAACATCAGTATAGTCTGTTAGCACTGTCCCCAGTTTGTACCTTCAAACTCTTCAGGATTGGTGCCCAATAAGTCCAGAGTGGAGTCCTCTAAAATGTGAAACCCTGCTAGGGCTCCTCTTAATCAGTCCTAAGGCAATAATAATATATATTAATATTAGAATGTGAGTACTTATATACCAACATTATTAAACAACTATGGCATTTGGAGAATTAAGTAGGAAGGGAGAAGGATTGGCATAAATGAGAAAGCTTTTCAGATCCAGCCTGAGCTTCTGGAGAGAAATGATAAGTTGAGCCTATGTATCTGATTGTATTCCTTAGAGATGCCCCACAAAGATGTAGTAAAGAGATTTTTATTTTATAGACATGGTCTTTCAACGATATGAAGAATGAGCAGAAAACAGCCACACACACACTAAAAGCTGAAAGCAAATAGAAGGTGGTAAATGGGACAGCTCACTTGAGAAAATAATTTCTCAATGTGGCAAAGATTAAAGCTGCAAAACAATATTTTTATCACAGAATTGTCAAGTACCAGGAATTGATGGGACTTGGAACATGGAGTAGTTAATTCCTAGGACATGTTCTCTTCTCTGTTTCATTCCACAGCTACTCTTCACACATATACCTCCACTGTAGTATAAGACTGTGGGTCTTATCAAGGAGAAAAAAAATCTCAAGCTCTCTGGATTGGGGGTACCAGGAAAAAATTAAGAGCAGGTCACTTTATAAGGGAATTATGTGAACATCAGCAGTATCAGAAAGCAGCCAGGAATGACCACAAAATTCTGAAGAAATTTTCAGCCTAGAATTTTATACTTAAGTATATGCCGTTAGTCACTAGATAACATAAAGACATTTTCAGACTTGCAGGACTTAAAAAAGATTACCTCCTACACATCGTTTCTTGTGGAGCTAGTAGAAGATGCACTGCAGTGAGAATAAGGACAGGAAATCCAGCAGAGGGAACTCTCAGGAGAACCCTTACAGAGAGAACTGAGTTCAGCAGCTGTGTACCAAGTACAGAAGATGTATAACCAGTCAGATGGAGCAGCTTAGAAAGGTTGTGCACAAGATTTCTCCAAGAAGACAAAATTGATATAATAGCTGAGTGCATTTAAACAAGAAGTAAATGTGGGATTAAATTAGGAGCCAAGATAGAGAAATCAGTCAAGTGAATAATCAGATGACAACTATAAGAAAAACAAAAGATAGTTCAAAACATGAAGGGCCATGGATATAGCTCAGTGGCACAAGCACCTGCCTGACAAACACAAGATCCTGAGTTCTATTCTCAGTACCAATAAATAAATAAATAAATAAATAACATGGAGAATGTGCTTTTTTGCATGTTAGACTTTTTGCATACTATGAGTTTTTAAAGACCTGTAACCTATAAGATAGATAACTGTTATTGTGACTTTATAAACAAGTAAACCACGGTGCAGAGAGGTTAAATAATAACTTGGCTAAACTAAATAGCAAGTAAGTGATAAAAACAGAATTTATATCCAAGCAGTTTGCCTTAAGTATTCATACTCCTGTATGTAATTTGCTGTATTACACATAGAGTTTACTCTGTGGCTAAAGCCTAGATAGCATATATAGTTGTAAGTTTGTCCTTAACAAAATTACTGTGTAACTAACCAAATAAGGAGAAAAGACACTAGGACATGTGTGCACTGTCACGGGAACAGAGGAGAAAAAAGTCACATTCTCCTCTTCCACACCAAAAAGTCTATAATGTCTAAAATAGAAAAATTTTAAAATATTGGTACAGCCGTATTATTTAATATATGGTGGTAATTCCCCCGAAAATGACTGAGATAAAAGTATTTGCTTCAGGGAAAAAAAAATGGTTGAAGACGAAGGCTGGGGGTTGCTGTTTTTTAAAACAAGCCTTGTAAATGTCTTACATAATTTTGTTAATAAATACAAACTTAAATTTTAAAAATAATGAGACATACAGCATGAACAGGAAAGAAAAGTAAATGCCACTTAAACAGAAGAAAAGATGTTTTGCATAATTTATAATCAGATAAAAGCAAATCAAGACTGTAATGAGCTGTGAGATTACGAAAGGTGAAATTTTTATTTGGAAGAATAGAAGAAAATTTACATTGTAGTTCATTAGTGCCAAATTGTTTTTTTCAGAGGGCAGCTTTACAAGTATTTAGTTTATGAAAAATATGCATTTGCTTTCTCGAAGTTCATCTTTCAGATCTATTCACACAGTCACTACAATATTATTTGTAATAACAGACAAGTAGGCACAACCCAAATACCCATCCATAGAAGATTACTTAAAGTATGTTAAATCCATGTAGTGGGTTACTGTAAAATAAAAAAGTAGTTCCATGTGCACTAATATGAATGCACTGAATTTCCAAATACATTGTTTATTTGGAGGGGAGCAGGTGCAGAAATGCATATGTGTACTATACTGTGATTTGTATCACAAATGTTATATCCATATAAGCATGTGTGTGTGTGTGCACATGTATGCATGGTTAACTCCAGAACCATACAGTAGAATACGTTTAACAGTGACTGTTTCTTAGGGAAGAACTAGAGACCCAGTGGCTCACAGGGAGAGAAAGACTGACTTTTCATTATAAAACACTTTTTCAATTTTTATTAGGATATGTTTGCAGTACATAATGATTCATTCCTCTTGGGGAATTGATCCATGTACATAACACATCACAATTCTCTTTTGTTCTCTTTCCCTTCCTCTCCCAACCTCTTCCCTTTATCTCTTGGTCCCCTTCCCAGTCGAAAAAACTTTCCTTTTGCCATTAAAATGTTTCCTGTTAAATGTTTCCTTTTCCTATTAAAATGTTACTATTAAAAAATGTTTCCTTTTCCAGTTTTTTTTCTTCCACTTAAAGGCTTTTGGGTCATTTTCTTCCTTATTTTATTTATTTATTTATTTATTTAGCCAGTCAGTCAGTCAGTCTGTCTTTTTGAGACAGGGTCTCGCTGTGCAGTTCATGCTGGCCTTGAGCTCACTTTGTAGCCCAGGCTGGTCTCGAACTTGCAACGATCCTCCTGCCTCAGCCTGCAGAGTGCTGGGATTACAGGCATGTGCCACCACGCTGGGCTCTTTCTTCCTCATTTTAATCAGAGAAGTGCCATCTGAGTCAAAAACATTTTAGCCAATATTTTGCAATCAGTTTTTAAAACTTAAGAATTACAGAGAAATGTTCAGATGTATACATTAGGAGCCAAATCGACTAGGGATAGAATTAATGAAATAATACATTAGTGTGATTGAAAATGAGGTAGAGGAAAAATGCATTTAAAGCAGAATATTATTAGCAGTGTGTATAACACTTGGATTGAATTAGCCACTAAAAGCTAGAAAGTTCCACAGTGGTAGATATGGCTCCCAGGAAGGAAACTTCTTGCAGAATAGGAAAAAGAAAATATGGCCTCATCTAATAATGTTGGCTATCAGTGATATATCATAATCTGGGATATAAATTACTGTATTTTCTTAAGCTTTACAAAATCTTCCTGTGTAGTTCAAACTGGCCGTGAACTCACTGTGCAGCCCAGTCTGGCTTCAAACTCACAGCTATTCTTCTGCCTCTGTCTTCCAAGTGCTGGGATAATAGGCATGCACCACTGTGCCCAGTTCAATTTCTACTTTATTGATAATGCTATGCTATTTCAGAATTGGTAATTGCACTAAAAGTTTATGTCTCTGAAAATATTGTCTAATTAATTGTATTTTCTTCACTATAGTGCCCTTTTTCTCCCATTTCCTCTATTTTATCTTCTCTCCTACAGGCTGATTCCTCCTATCTAAAAATGATCAAAAACATTGCATTATCTTTGTGGTTTAAACTGAGATGGTAGTGTATCAGTATTCTAAGGCCTTTAATTAAAGCACACGTTTGATATAGTAATATTATTCAGGTAAATAGCACAACCTCATTCTAAATTCATCATTTCTTGTCTATATTAAATGAACTTTAAAAATTACCATTAAGGGCCTCGTAGCATCTTTTTTAAGTACATGCTTTCAGTACATAGTGTTCACATTCCTTGTGTGGAGTTGGTACATGTGCATAACACATCTTTAAGATCCTTTTTTTTTTTTTTTA